ACATCGAAATAAGGGCGTATAAAGATGTATAATGGCCAAAAACAAATTTGTTCGAGAAATTTCCATAAAAGATGAACTTGGTGAGTCTCATTTATATACCAATCGACACAGAAAAAAATCTTTACCAAATCATATAGTCGGTTTCTCATGACACGGGGGTCGATCGTATCCGACAGGATCTTTTGGCAAATTTTTGGCATAATTTGACATTTGGCAAATAAGAAAAATATTTTACAATTTTGGCAAATGCTAAATCTAATCGTTTTCAATCTGTCCAGCATAAAATTGTGTCTATCCTACAAGTGACTAGAGACGACGTTTGAATATTGTTGGCAGTGCCCTCTGTCGTCTTGATTATAGTTGAGCGTAATCGTTGGATAATTCATCTTCTTTGTGTTTGATATCTTTTTCTCTGACGTGGCAGTTTCGTACTTCGCTATAAATACATCGGTAGACAAGAGAAGATAACAACGAAAGAATAATCATCATTTTTTTTGTGTTTGTATTGTTATATGTCAAACTTGACTCTGACGTGTTGTTTTGTTTTTTTAGAATGAATTAAATTGATTTGAAGAACACAATGAATGACTATATATCATCGGTCTCAATGCTCGAACACTTTCCGAACGAACTCCTTGTTGAAACTTTCGAATATTTATCCGTTCAAGATTTGTACAACGGTTTTTATGGTCTCAATATTCGATTTACTTCGATTCTCGCTTCTCTTACCAATCTCTGGGGCAAATTAACATCGAATAAAGATGCTCTATTACCTGCCTTTCGTTTCTTTGCTTCTGGTATAACCATATTGGATGTCGATTACGCAGATCCCATTGATTTGTCTTTATTTCATGCTATTCGTTCACTTCGATTGTCTAGAGAACCAGATTGTGGTATATCCCATTCGATTTTGGGACTTTCTAATCTTGAACATTTGTACGTTACCGATCATTCTTCAATGATTTTTGAAGTCCAGAATCCATTGTCTATCTTTGTTTTCGGCAATTATTTTCCTCATCTTCGCACATGTCAACTTTCTCAAGTTAAATTAAATAAGGATTATAAATGGAGTATTGTTTCGTCTCTTCGTTCATTGAATATTTCTACAGATGATATACTCGTCTACACCCGAATACTTCAATCGTGTCCATCTCTTGATCAATTGTGCATCGAATTTACAAATCACAAGTACATGGTTAGTTCATTTGATTGTACGCCTCATCAATTTCTTCGTCGATTGGATTTATACTTTCAATATGTTCGTTTAATAAACTCTCAAATGATCGATTTATTACTTTCTGTTGTACCCAATGTTATTTATTTTTCGATTAACAGAGTTCGTAATAATCGGAACCCAGTGACAAATGATTCACTCGTTCCCATTTTACATAAACGTCTGCCTAAACTTCGCTATTTTCACATTAACGTGATGTATTATACGCTTGTAACGATATTATCCGACTCTGAGGATGACACTGATGATGATGACACTGATGATAATGATACTGATGATGATCTCTAATGATCTCATGGTTCTGGCATCTACCGACTGAGCTGATCATTTGGTTCAAATAATGAACTAAGACACTTCATTGTTTTTATCTGTTAGAGAGCACTCTAACAATATATTTTCTTATGTTGTTCATTTTTGTTGTGTGTGTACGCGTCTTCATTCTAGTATATGTTATTCACTCTTGTATACGAAGATCAAACAATCTTTTTTCTTTCCCTCTCTCTCTTCTCTTTTCGCATTTTCTTTCGTCCGTGGGAATTTCAATAAATTCTCAACCTTCCTTCGACTCTAAATTTAAGTCTATTTAAAAGATGATGCTTGACATAATCTTCATCATTATATAGGCTAGGTCGAAGTAACAGAGAATGGGTGAAGATAACACCTATACCATGCTCGATTGGTATTCTTTTTTTTCGTTCACAAAATTTTCTCGAATCTTTTCGAACTAATAAAGAGAACCTTGAGTGGCTTTGCTAATATCAAAATATTTTCCTGTCGAGGATGGGTATGGGTGTTGGCTAATTGAAAAATATAACAGGATCACTTATACAACCAACCACACGCACATTCACACCTTCAAGAATAGGTTTTATTCTACAAGCTGAAAAATAAAACAAACATTGCCGAGTTATGAATTCTGGTAATTAGTGAAAAAAACAAGTATGTACGAAAGCATTTTTCGAAGATTCTTCCATTACTCTCGACTAAAAATAGACACAAAAATCTTTAGTTCATATTTGAAAAGGGCAAAAGATCCAGGTTCTTATTGATAGTTGTGAAATCGTTCAGAATATTACTAAATTAACCAAAAATGAATATTTTCTCTTAAAACTTTCGGTTCACTCATTGTCACAAATGCAACTCATTCTCGTGTTTGATGATCGATAACGAAAGAATGCAAGAGCACTTAATCATTCGTTCGGCAAGTTTTGGAATATCCTCTTATATCTCTTAGAACTTACCCCCTCCCAATAATAGAAGACCCCTCTTTTATGAAAACTGAGGACTTTAATTATTGGTGTCACATCCAAACATTTGTGGTTTTTTTGCTGAAAATTCGTTGTCAAATCTTCAAAGTCGCTTCGATTCTCTGAGAAATTCTTTTTAATTAAAAATTTTATCAGTGCAGATCCTGCAGAGTTAAAATGTAGACTCACGTGAGTCAGATTATCATAAATTTACAGTATATTGTCAAAAAAAAGTTAAAAATTTATTTTCAAAAGATGTCAAATAATTGAATTGATTAAAATTAATTTGAGCTCATTTGAGTTAAAACTTATACTGTAGAGCTTTATCACAACAAAACTATTGTATTTCGATCTGTAACTTCTTCCCTCACTCCGCTGATCAGATTCACTGAATATCTTTATAATATTCATATAGCAAACGCAAAAATGTTAAATTTCTAAAGAAACATTTACTTTTTCTTGTTGCTCACGTCTTTATTCTAGTCGTATTAAAGTTATGAGAAATCAAAACATTATCTCTCGAATGAATCGTATGACCTTTTATTTGTGCGAAAAAAAGGAGGCTGGCTTTTTGTAAATATTCATAAAGATATTCGAACTATTGAACAGTAAAAGAAGATTCTAGAAGTTTGCCAGAACCTTTTAAACTTAAATAATTGCTACAATATATAATCGTGAGGAGCGACGAGCCGAAAAATCTCGATGGATGCGAGTGCATATTATGAATATAGACGTACTCACATCCTGTGGTCTTTTTTTACAAATTGTTTTCCTGTAGAAATTTAGAGGAAAAATAGAAATGATAAATTACTTTGCTGAGATTCTATCGCTTGGTCGACTAACCATAAGGAAATATTCATATTGTTTATTATAGAATAAACTTATTCAATGTCTAATGTTTTATTTACTGTTTTGTACAAGTGACACAAATGGTAGCATATCAGTAATTGCTTTTATATATTTAATGATTTTAGTAGAGTACAGAAGCTTTAACTCATTATATCAAGTAATAGATTCAGATATAAATACGAAACTAAAACCGCCAATATTAATCTTTCGTACATCTAAACATCTGAAAAAGACTAGAAAGAGACTTTATAACTCAAACGTACCTGCAATAGATAAAAACTTTGAGATTTTCACATTCAGATGGTGGTGGCAGCTCAACCGTACGACTTATATCTTTACATATATGAAATTTTATTCACATCTGCTTCATTTTCATCAGAATATTTAATCAAAATCGAGGCATTTTTTCGTATTCTCGTCATTAGTTCTGCATTTCAGAAGAAAAACAACAAGAAGATATCTGTTCAACTTTGACTAATGAAATTTCATTGGTTATCTAATATTTATTTCGACTGAAGAAGAAAAAAAAATCGACATTATCATCAAAATTTTTATCTATTTAGATGGATGATTTGGAATAATTGTTGATCCTGGCATTGAACTAAATTTAATTAAACCATCTGTTTTGAACATTTCAGAATAACATTCTTGACATTGACTAAAAAACATATGACTATCAGGTTTTAATTGATCTAAATGAAGAATATTTCCTTGATCATCTTTTTGAAAATTCATTAATGATGTATCACGAAATAATCGATCAGCTAATAATGATTGATTATAAACATTTGATGAACATTTTTCACAATGAAATCTTTCCATTCGTTCTGTTGTTTTAAAACCTCGTAAATGTTCTGATCCTTTAATTATTTTTAAATTATCATTTTCAAATCCAACAAATGCAACAGCAATACCACCTGAAATTCTTGTACAAATTGAACAATGACAAATAACACGAAAAATTGGTTTTCCTTCACAAATAAATTGACATAAACCACAATAACATGAACCTTCAAATTTCAATTGTTCAACATCTAAATATCAATCAAGAAAAAAATTCAGATTACAATAAATTTATTTATTACTTTCTTTTGATTTCATTTTTTCATTAAAACTTGTTTTACGTTTTTCTGGCTTCATTTCTTTAAATGAATCGTAAAAGATTTCAAAGAACTATTGTCTATTAATTGATTGATTATGTAAAGAGTAGAATTTTTCTAAGAGAAATCTGAAACAAAAAGTTCATTTACATTTTATTATCGGCGCCAAAGCACAAAATGAAAATTTATTATTTAAAATAAATTATCTTTTTCAAGTTAGATTCAAAAAAGAGAAATTTTTCTGTACGTACGTACCTATTAATGTTAATACTATATAAAACATATACAAAGAATAGTATCGAGCCACATGAAAATAAAAAAAAATTTCTTAGCTGCTACTTGGAAAATAAATATATAGTATAATATTAGAGAGTTAAAAAGACGGTTCTTTCTTTTAAATAACAGTTACATTTCTCATCAGTAACATCTATATTTATTTTCTTCAAAAATATAAATTCAAAATATTTTCATAAAATATACTCTAAAACGAGCAAACCAACATTATTACAATATGCTCATTTCTATGTTATTTCATTTCAATAAAAACGCATCTCGAAAGAGGTCTGTTCTCATAGAGACAGACATAATGATGTATTTCTGCTCAAGGTATATATCATTCTAAAACAGTGTTTCTAATGGCAAGTGTACATAACAGAAGCAAAAATGTACAAAACATTTGCAGCTATGAAAATACACGCTGCTGTACACTTGCCTTAAAAAGCAGAGTGTGCAATGTACACTTTGCAGGTGAGATTCGAAATGTCTAGTTTTTATTTTTTTCTACTATCCATCGAATGGTATCCTTTGTTAGACTTTGTAATTTTTTTTTAGTTTTATATCAATTCATTCCCGGTATTGATGTGATAGCTGCAGAAACACTTTAAAAACTGTAGTATTCAAGTTAGTTTTCTTCAAATCATACTAATGTTCATGATGATGAAGAAAACCATGAGTGTTCTTGATAGGTCTTGTGGTTATTTAGGATTTTGATAGGCAGTAAATCAAAGTTCTTATGATTATATGCTTTTCTAATGCTGTACTTTTGTGTGGTGAATTTTCCTAAATAAATCACACACAGATATTTTTTTACATTTCTTTTTTTTATATAGAATTTAAACATCGTACATTTTGCTTATGAAAACAAGTGTAAAGGTATACCTTGCTCATTTAAAACAGCGTGTATTATACATTTTATTTTAGATCTGCATTAGCAACACTGTTCTACAAACTCAATATATATGAAGTGTATAAATAAGACGATTTATGCGTTTGAACAAGACACTGACCTGTCTTAAATTTTGGAGCATTTACACTATTATAATTGAGCGCCTAATATCTATGTTGTTTAGATGCTTCAACTAATTTGAGACTTACTCTTTCTAGAATTAATATACCGCTTTATAGGGAAGTTAGATATAAGAACAAATTTTTTTATGTTTACAAATTAT